CCTCCTGCTATATTTGATAACATAATACAAGCACTCGTGTTCAAGACCTCAAGTTCATGTGTCGTGTCATATGTCGTGTCATGTGTCGTGTCGTATCATGTGTATCGTCCCTTCCCAGACTTTGCTAAGTCCCAGCCATTACATTTGCAGCGGTTGAGCTCAGACGTTTCTGAGTTGAGCAGTCATTTCGTAGAGGATACCCAGTTGACGGTCCTCACCGACGCCGTGGGCCAAATAGCCCCACCTACACATTCGGTGACGGGGAAATCGGACTCTGGGCCATACAAATCAGACCCGATCATAGGACAATCAGACCCGAAAATAGGACAATCCGACGCCGTAATCAGACCAGTCGGTGGTTCGTCTCGGAATATACACAACACTTCACGGGCCAATGACTCGGTGAATCTAGATATCAGCTATTCGGATATCGCAAGTAGTGAGATGACGCAGAAAAGCAGAGGGTTTTCCTCCGTGGTGGGGTCGCAAAAAAACCAAGGTTTTTCTGCCGTGGTGGGGTTAAGGCCCAGACGAACGTCTATAAATTCATCCTCACCCATATACGAACAACAGAGTATTCCCTTATCTGCCGTAGCTGGCGACAGTGGTTACGTGTCAAGGACAGGTGAACAGAGTGCGAACAGCACACCACGCAAACACCCACTCGCACACCAGGTAGGCATATGGCAGTGCGATATAAGGCAGAGCGGTATATGGGAAGGAGTGCACACGGGAGAGGGGTCTTCACAGGCGACTCTCAGACCAGGCGGAGATAGAGACGCGGAAATGCACAGTACGGTTACGGTATTAGATTTAGATGCAGACACACACGGTGGGAGTGAACCACACACACATGCACACACAGACACACCCACGCATACACCTATACATACACCCACACGCATAGACACACACATAGACACACCCACGCATACACCCATACATACACCCACACGCATAGACACACACATAGACACACCCACACATACACCCACGCACATGGATGTATGCCTGAATACGGAGACGCAGATACCCGAGAACAGGGAGAGTGAGAAGGCTAAGGCTAAGGCGGGGCTGGGAGACACGGTGTTGACTAAGGGATGTTACGAAGTCAGCAGCAGAGACGCAACCACAGCTGATCACCGCAAGGCTACGAACAGCGGTGGTTTATGTAGATATAGCGAGTCGCAAGGAGCCGGAGCTAAGAGTAGGAGTGGGAGTGGGAGTAACTTGACAGACTCGCCGCCTGTCTTTGCGTTGCGGCGGATTGATCTGACCGTTTGCGCGGGCGAATTGGTGGCGGTGGTGGGCGGAGTGGGCAGTGGGAAGACTATGTTGATGCTGAGCATACTCAATGAGCTACACCGAATCCAGGGAACGTAAGTGTGGCCAATTAACCAGGATTGTGTGTTTTGTGTACTCATGGAAGGTAAGTGTGGCCTACTAATCATAATTGTGTGTAATGTATACTCATGGAACGTAAGTGTGGCCTATTAACCAGGATTGTGTATTGTGTACTCGTGGAACGTAAGTGTGGCCTATTAATCATAATTGTGTGTAGTGTGTACTCATAAAACGTAAGTGTGGCCAATTAACCTGGAATATATGTGTATTGCTTACCCGTGGAACGTAAGTGTGGCCATTTATCCAGGAATGGATATATCCAGGCAGCGTTGCCTTTTCCTATCTACTAAAATGAGCCGATGTTCCAGGCATGTCTATACCCAGCCAAGATAATCAATCATAAGGTGCGAGTGTCTAAGTAGGTCGTCTACGTCTGTGTTGGCTGTCTGCACCCGTCGTCCTCTGCTGTGACTGTGATGCTTATCAATAAGCTGTGGTAGTACGCGACGGCAACTGCAACCGAAATATCCTAAACCCTAAACCATAAACCCACCAGCTATAGTCACCTCATAGTCACGCATTGAAAGGCATGTTCTATGCTTTTGTTGTTGCCCAAGGCTAGAATGGATTCGACATTGCGATTCCATAGCAGATACATCAAGCGGTTCGTTTATTCAGATTTAGGTATATATATATATGTGTGTGTGTGTGTGTATGTATATATATATATACATATATACATATATATATATATGTGTGTGTGTGTGTGTGTGT